GAATTGGTCCTTACTGTATTTATTTTTTTATGGGAGAAAAAACTTAAATTCCTTTTTACTTTAACACGTCTAGTAATTATTATTAGCATAATAGTTTAATGTTACACATTTTATTATTTAACTGATTTTTAATTTTTACATGAAATGTTAAGTTTAACTTTTTAAACATAATATTAGAGAAACAAAGCCTAACTTGAAATTAAAATGGAAAATTCTCTTTCTTGGGAAAAACAAGTATTTCAGCAATACAGCCAAATATTTAAGATAGTATGTCTTAACAATATATGTTTAAAAGTTCACATTGAAAACCATCAGAATCCTCTGGTTTTTTACTTACTTTAAGTGATGTTACTTCTGGGTGCTCCTGAACTTCAGGTTTATTTTGAATTAAATTAGTTAGCTGTTCTTCCAGATCTCTTACTTTTTGTTGAAGTACAACTTTCTCTTCTAGTAGGCTTTCAAGTTTTAAATTGAGTTCAAGTGACATGTTCTTCACCTCTTCATTTTTGGCTTGTAGTTTGGATGTAGTTCTTCGTAATTCCTTTTCTTCTTCTTTGATTTCATTGGTTTGAAGTGATAGATCATAAAAAGATTGGTCAAATATGTTGAGTTTTTGAAATATGTCATTAATTTGGCTTTTAGTCTTGTGAACAAAATCTTTAAGACCATGTCCCAACTGAAGGAGGCCATTGGCCAAAATTTTCACATCATCTAGCATAGCAAATCTTGATTTTGGCTCTGAAGATATAGAATCAAATGACGAATTGTCTTGATCAACTCTGGAAGAAATTACTAGAGGAACAATAAAAAGAAAGATCTTAATTGTGTGCATTTTTGTCCTAATTATTCAGTTTTCAAGCAATTTGGAACTATTTTTCTCCTGTAAGGAGACCTATACTTCTTAACTCTATATACATGGCTATTTGCACATAAAAATCAAGGTTGGCAGGTGAATATAGTTAATTATTAAGCTGTGTTAACTTGCACGAATGTAACCTTCTCCCATGTTGAGTTAGATCAATGGCAAATGAAATCAAGGAAATGAGCAACTAACTTAAGAGGTAATTTAAAAAATTGATATTTTGTTAACTTTGCTCTATTGTAAACTATATTTTCAGTATTAAGGAATCTACCTGTTTTTAAAAGCTCATTTTAATGTTTTATGATTATAAGAGATTTACAAATAAAAATTTAACTCATTAATTTTTCTTCAACTTTAATGATATACTTATCCATCTAAAGTTAAGTTTTTATTTGTAAATCTCAGTTTCCTCACTTGTAAAGTTGGGATAATTGTATTATGTAATTTATAATTGTCGTTCCCCCACCTCCTGACTCCCTTTTGAGTCATAGTTCTATTTATGTAGCCCAGGCTGTCCTTGAACTTGTAGTGGTTCCTCAGCCTTCCAAGTGCTGGGATTATGGGTGTGTAGCACTACATGCCTGGATCATGTTCATAACTTTTTGACAAAGAAAAACATAAGTGTAATGGATTTTAAAAGAAGTTGTCAAACTTTTACAAAGTAAACCCATTTCTAAAGTCAGTTCATAGAAATACCTGTTCCTGGGGCTGGAGAGCGGTTAAGAGTACTGACTGCTCTTGCAGAGGACCCAGGTTCGATTCCCAGCATCCACATGGTGGCTGTGAACCGGCCTTAACTCCAGTTCCAGGGGAATCTGAAGCCCTCTTCTGATGTCTGTGGCACTGCATGACATGGGTGCACTCACTTACATGCAGACAATACACTCATACACATAAAATAAAAATAAAAAAAGAAATACCTGTTCCTGGCATAAAATAGAAACTCTTTGATGATTAAGTATTAAGGGATCGAATGTATTAGATTCCGTAGAGACAGTGGTTAACCATGCTGGTTAGGAGCATGATTGTGAGCAAGACTGCTTGAATTCTGCCGCCCTTTGTCATCTTATTTAGCTTCTCTGTTTCTCTTTTGTTCAGTGAAGATAGGGTTTTTTTGTTTGTTTGGTTGGTTGGTTTGGTTTGGTTTGGTTTGGTTTGGTTTGGTTTGGTTTTACAGGTTCTCTGTAGTCCTAGCTCACCTGGAAGTCACTATGTGGACCAGACTGGCCTCGATTTTACAGAGACCTGCCTGCCTCTGCCCCTGGAGGGCTGTGATTGAAGGTGTGTGCCACCTCACCTGGAATATTTAGGGTTATGTAAAGATTATGTTAGTCTTTTCAGGTCACTTGGAGTGTTACTTGCTGTAGAGTAGGTACTACATATTATTGTATATCAACTAGTTTGGGTAATTAGAAACAATATGTTTATACTCAGTACTTATTGGTGAAAACTAAGTGAAGATTATGTAGATTAGAAAATTTTGCTGATACCTAAGTTTTCAAAAGCTTTTTTCTATTGAATCTTGGTAAGGAATTTGTCTTTTAATTAGCGTGTGTCTATGTGTATACCTTGTCTTTTTGGTGTGTGCACGCGTGCGTTCATGTGTGCTTACATGCTTGTGTGTCTATAGTGGAGATTGAACCAAGGGCCCTAGCATACTAGGCAAGCATTCTGCCAGTGAGCAATTTTCCCAGCCCAGCCTATGTGTACCTTTTAAGTATCCAATAAGAACTATATAAATATTTTTGACAGAAATAAAAATAAACATGCACAAATACATTCACTAATGAAGATGAAAACAACAAAAAAATTCATCAGTTGTATTGACTCCTTTGTACTGGTATATGCAGTAGAATTATTCAAGTGCATGTTTAACTCAACTAGACATTCAGATTTCTTCTTTCATAGGAAAAGTTAGAATTGTGATCATTGGTTATACAGGGTATATTTAAATTTTTCCTTGACTAAGCTTTCAAAACTATTGACCCCATTATTCAATCTACGTAGTTGAGGGAACATTGAGATGAGTCAGCTTCTTTCTTCTGTTAGCATTATAAACTTTTTCTTTTCCCAGATGATTGTTTATTCATTTATATCCTAGCTTGCTAGTGCAATGCTTTGTGTATTGTAGAAACAAGAAGTATTAAGATATGGGTAAGAGAATCAAAAGTACACTAAAATTGCAAAACTAAACATTGTAGATTCAAATCCCCCCACCCCCCCTTTTTTTTTGTCTTTTTTGAGCCGGTCTCCTTGTAGCCCCAGCTGTCCTGGAACTCACTATGTAGACCAGGCTGGCCTCGAACTCACAAAGATCCACCTGCCTCTGCCTCCCAAGTGCTTGGATTAAAGGCATGTGCCACCACACCCGGCAAATCCCCATTTTATAGCAGGTTCTTTTTAGAGAATTTGAAAAGGGGCCCTTTTTGTTGTGTGCAATAACTAGCACTAATATCAAAGAAAAGCTGTGTGAAAAAATTTCCTTCCACGTTCAGTGTTGTACTAGACTATGAATACTTTTTGTACAATTTACACAATTTCTCATATACCACTGACAGATGTGATGGCCATGTTTCCTTGGTTTAAAATATATTGTCTTTGGATAGAAATGTCTAGATGATTTATTTTTTATAATAGTTTGAAATTATTACTGACTATAATTAAAATGAGAAGTTTGCCTAATTATAAGCTGCAGAAGTGTTTAACATGGGAAGCATGTTGTAGAAATGATTTTACATTTACCTTATAATGTCTCCTGTTTGAGTACATATTGTTGACATAATCTAGTCTTTGCCTCAACTTATGCCTATTTAATGAAAACTGTGATCAAATAAGCAGTAATTTATCCAAACAAACAAAAACTATGCCAAAACAAACAAAACTTTAGCAAATTTAGCATCTAATTTAAGGACTTCTAGTTTCTAAAAATCAATACACAAAATTTCCTAGGTACACAGAATTTTTGGATATTTAGTGTCTTCAGTTGTTTAAATTTCAAGCAACACAAAGTCCTTTTGCTTCCCAAGATGGTGCAATCTTATGGTAACTTGACTTCCAAATAAAAAACACAAGGTATTTTGACTCTTACACAAAGTATTTTCCTCTTCCTTTTGAAGTATGCTAGTTTTTAGAAAAATTGTATGATTAACCTCTTATGGTTTTGCTTTCTAAGGTTTCAGTTCCCACAGCCAGTAGTGATTCAAAACTATTAAATAGAATCCAGAAATCAACAACCCGTGTCATGCAGTGCCCTCGGAAGTCAAAAGAGGGTGTTGGATCCCCTGGAACTGGAGTTACAGATGACTGTTAGCTGCCATGTGGTTGCTGGGAACTGAACCCCGGTCCTCTGCAAGAGCAACTGGTGCTCTTAACTACTGAGCCCTCGCTCCAGCACCATCAACTTATCAGTCTTAATTGTGCATTGTTCTAGTCAGTGTGATTAAATCCTGTGCTGTCATAGTCCATCCCTCTAGGAACATCCCTGCTCTGCCTTTGTTCATAGTATTCATGCTGTGGGATGGATAAGGTAGCAGCCCATTTGTTGCTTTATAGCTATGTCAGTTTTTAGATGGACTCCTGTGGTATCACAGTACCTGTGTTCAAGTACATCCCTATTTTACTTAACAGCCCCAAAGTGCCAGTGTAATGATGCTGGCAACTTAGATGTGCTAATGAAAAGCATTAAATGCATCCTTTTGGTGAAAAAGTAAAAGTTCTCAGCATGTATATATAGGATTTAGTACTGTTCGTGGTTCAAGGAACCCACTAGGAATGTTGGAATGTTTTCCCTTGTAGTTAAAAAGACTAACATAATGTTAGAAAGGCTTCACAATACCTATTTGAGAAAAATGTGTATAAATAGAAAAATTATGAAATGAAGTAAAGAATAATGCTAGAATAATATATTAGGTTCCTTTCTTCTCTGTCCAGAACAGCATACAATAGAAATATAAGGCTGAGGCTGTAGTTCAGTTAGAGTACTTGCTTAGTGTGCTGCATAAACCAGGTGGAGTGGTGCACTCCTGTAGTCTTAACACTTAGTAGGTGGAGGCAGGAGGATCAAATTTCAAAGTCATCCTTGTTTATACAGTTAGTTAGTCTGGGATACTTGAGGGTATTAGGGAGGGAGGGAGGGAGGGAGGGAAGGAAGGAAGGGAAGGAAGGGCTGAGTTAGAGGGACTGAGACTGAGTTACATATGTACAGACACTCCTTGATTTATGATCAGGTTCTGTCCTGAAAAATGTGTAAGTTGAAAATATATTTAACAGAGTCTAACTTACTGAACATCATAACATCATCACTGTTTTTTTTTGTTGTTGTTGTTTTTTGTTTTGGTCTTTTTGAGACAGGGTCTCCCTCTAGCCCCAGCTGGCCAGGAACTCAAAATGTAGACAAGGGTGGCCTTGAACTCTCAGAGATCCGCCTACCTCTGCCTCCCAAGTGCTAGGATTAAAGGTGTGCACCACCATGCCCAGCTTTCATCACTGTATTTTGTAGGTATCATGTAGCTGATGGAGAGCTTCTGCTCATTCCCATTCCCTACTATCATGAGAGTTTCCATATGGCATATTACTAGCCCAGGAAAAGATTAAGATGAAAAATTCTGGCTGGTTGTGGTCACACATGACTTTAATCCCAGCACTCAGGAGGCAGAGGCAGGTGTATTTCTGTGAGTTTGAGGCCAACCTGATCTATATAGTGAATTCCAGGCAAGCCAGGGCTACATAGTGAGACCCTGTCTCAAGAAAAAAGAAAAGAAAAATTCCAAATACAATTTCAACTTAATTTGAAGTGATTTTGTACCATTAGGAAGTTGAAAAATAGTAATTGAAACAATCATACATTGATCCAGAAGTTGAGTGAACTAAGATTTTTTACTGTTTTTGAAAGAATATTTATTATTATGTGTATGAGTATTTTGCCTGCATATAAGTGTACCTGTGTCATGCAATGCCCATGGAGGGCAGAAGAGGATGTCGGATCCTCTGGAACTGGAGTTCCAGGTGGTTGTTAGCCGCCATGTGGTTACTAGGAACCAAACCTCGGTTC